GGTGGGGGTGGGGGGGGGCAGGGCACTGTAGTGGAGTGCTTTACATGGCATGTGCTTGGGGGAGTTGAGCCCTTTAAGTTAGGATCCAGCACCAAAAAGTATGACAAAATAAAACAAACCCAAAAGAACAAAAGCAAAAACCAACATACAAATCCCAGCAAGTTCACAAAGGATAACACAGGCATCTCTTGCCTAAGAGGTTGAAATGGTCTAATCCTGGTTAAGTGCTCTTCCCTCTACCTCGAAAGTGCTGAGAGCTATGTGCTGAGATGTCTGATGCCAAGGACAAATACTACACAATTCCACTTACATAAGAGATTAGGAGGTGCACTGGAGGCCCCAGGAGCTAGGAGGAACAGAATAGGGAGTCAATGATATCTGGACAACCCTGAGAACCATTAATGCCAAGAAATGGCACACTCCAAAACGGGGTGTGAGAGTACTTGCTGCTGCTCTTCTACAGGACCTGGGTTCTATTCCCAGCACCACACAATGGCTCATAACCACCTGTTAGGCCAAGTTCCAGGGCATCTGGAACCCTCTTTTGACATGTGTGCTCCTGCATATACATGGTACAGACATACATGCAGGCAAAACATCCATACACATGAAGTATAAGTAATACAAAAAAAAAAAAAAAAACCAACCCTAAAACAAGGGCTAGAGTAAGGACCAGGGAGATGACTCAGTGGGTAAAGGCACACACCAATGTGAACTCAACCTTGAGTTCAATACCCAGAACCCACGCCAAGGTGGAAAGGGAGCACACCCCACAGGTATCCTCTGACACTCACACACACCACATGCCATGCACTACGGGATATGTCCCCTACCTTCCCATCACCACATACCAAAAACACACCTGAAATAAATTGCTAAACAGCCAAATTAGAAAAACAACAAAAAAATCCCCTCTAATTTTAGATGCTGGTTTCTATCTTTACGGAGTGGTGTGGGCATGTCACAGCAGAGTGGGTGCTAGAGACACCCGCACCAGGCTCACAGGACTCACGGCGTGCATGTGCTCTACCCCATCGGTTTGTCGTGCACGCTGTAACTATACATTTGTTTTGAGACAGGATCTCATGTAACTTAGGCTAACTTCAAATACACTACAGTGTGGAAGATGGCTCTGAACTCCTTCCTGATCCTTCTGCCTCTGCTCCCCACAGCGCTAATTTTAAAAAAAACTATAATATAAATTATTTACACATAAAGTTAGGAACATTTGTTTATGAAGTGCTGACACTTAAACACACCCTACTGAAGTCAGTAAGATTAGGTTAATAACTACACATCCAGGCAGGGCGATGTCTGGATGGACAAGTAACATAGATCTGTTTAGTACCACAAACAGGCCACATGGTATACTGCAAAGAGATAATTGAAGAATATCCACCATAATATTTAAACAGTAGAAAAAAATATATCTGAGTCCAGACCAAAAGACGTTAGCAGCAGCAGCAGTTCTTTTCTCATCAGAAAGCAAATAAGGCTCTTTGAGGAAATAGCACTCAAACAAGACAGTGGCTGGCAGAGGCCGGATGAAGGACAGAGAAGCAAGTACAGCTGTCGCTGCCCAGCAGCAGTATCAAGCAATTTGTAAGAGGTCCTCACGTGCAGGCCTGCCCTATTCTCCAGCCTGACAGCAGACAGCTTCAAGAGGCCAATGAACACCTCTTACTTAGAAGGTAATAGGAGGAGCAGCTGAACACACAGAACCTTAACAGGGGATGTGGTTTCTACAGGGGACAGGCAGAGAAGAGCCCACCAGTAGTTCATTAGGCCACCATGGCCTGTCCCTTCAGGGAAGTAGGGCCTTTAATTCTGTTGCCTGGTGAGCTATAAACAGCCAGTTCATCACCCTAAACGCTCAGATTAGTTCACGGCCCAGCAAACTTGCCGCTGACCACCTGTGGGTCTGTTGGAGAAGCTTGGTGGGGTTGGGTGCTCCTCAGGCTGGGAGGTACAGAGCAAGCAATATCTGTTCCTCCTTGCCACACTGCCAGGCCTGTTCTTATAATGTCACTCTTGCAAAAGTACCTCGAAGACTGTCTCTTAGCTTTTTAGTTCATGGCTACACAGGGAGTTAAGAAAGCAATGGTGATGCTGGCTTGGTGGATATGAGGTGGCCTGGAAGAGAGAAGGCACCAGGAAGAAGGGACTCTGACAAACTTTACTGCTGGAAAGAACCTGAAAGCAGTATGGGCTACCATCAAAACTGTCACTGACAAAAACCTCGGGCAGAGCAAGCACTGTGACATACACCTGTCATCTAAGCACTCACAAAGCCACGTCTCAAGAGGGCAACAATGACTACAAAAAGTGAGGCGTGTGACTGGATCTCTACAGATCTTCACTTAAATAATGAGGAGATAATCTACAATCAAGAGACCTCCGTGACAAACAGAGCTGAACAGAAAGACCTCTGAGAGTGGGACTGGCCTGTACTTCCCTGAGCTTTCTTCCACCCCCGCACCTACAAACTGCAATGCTTTGAGGACTAAGGCAGATCATGAACTCACTGAGCAACTGCCCTGCTGCCGAGAGCTGCTCAGAAATGGCAGCATATAAACAGCTCGCAATTCCTGGGACGACAGCTTGGAAGGAAGTCAGGGCCACCTCAAGTCTGACTGTGAGAGAGCAGGTGACTGCCAAGGCTAGAGTTTCCCAGAGCCCGGGGACTGGATCCGAGCTCACTGCTGATATCCATCTACTGCTGGGTGACAAATAACCACTGCAGCACCTATCACGTGAACAACCACACCTTTAGACCCAGCAACTCCCTCCTTGCTCATTCATCCTGCAGCTGCCGTTGGACGCCACGCGACCCCAGGAGACACACGACTGCATCACACTGCTGAGGCTGAACACAGCCAGCAAGCACGGGCTGCAGAAAGCCGTAGCGCTCCCCATGCTGGGGTCCTCCACCCTGTGACAGGCGAGGAAATGAACAATGCACCGACCAACACCACCCACAGGACTGAGGTGAGACAGAAAGGACACAACACGTTAACAGACCACACGAAAGCCAAGCCTACGAGCCCCCCCCTCCCTCGCAGTGTTGGTTATAGACTGGCAGGAGGTGGTTT